TTTTTAAGGTCCTAAGAATACTCTGTATACAGTGTTTGACGAACAACGGTCTCAAACCAAAAGTATTAGAGTACTATATGAGAGAAATTGTACAGGTGAACTTACTTTTTTTTCACTTGATAGCTCTATCAGTTCTAAACTGTTCTTTCTAGGGGTCCAGCGAGGATTATCACTTATTGATGCGGTGTTATTACAGGAGGAAACCTAAACTTAACTGATTTTATTTATACTGGACAGCTTTGTCAGTTCTAAACTGTTCTTCCTATATGTCCAATAAGAGTCATCACTTATTGATCCAGTGACACGTGATGACACACTAAATGACACGTGATGACATGTTTCTAGACATACGGTGCAGATGTGTTTTATCGAGCCATGACACCGCTGGATACTACAGGATTTCTAAGGACACCAACAGCTCGACATTTTCCTACGCTTAGAAAATCATTTCATCTTGATGTTCACGATGTACAAGAACAGGTGATGTTTGTTTTTGTTCTGTTCTGTTCTGTTCTGTTTTGTTCTGTTCTGTGTTCTGTTCTGTTCTGTTCTGTTCTGTTCTGTTTGTTTGTTTGTTTGTTTGTTTGTTTGTTTGTTTGTTTGTTTGTTTGTTTGTTTGTTTGTTTGTTTGTTTGTTTGTTTGTTTGTTTGTTTGTTGTTGGTAGTGATGACGGTGGTGATTATGATGGTGATGTTGGTGATGACAGTGGTGATGATGATGGTGATGACAGGTCCCTCATGAATACCAGCTACTCAGTTGAAGAGGCTAGCCTGTTCAAATAAAGTTTTCCAATCCAATCCATGATAATGGTGGTGATGTTGTTGGTTCGTGTTTGCAGCTTTTCATATTTCCACACTGATTGTCAAAAATGTTCGTATTTCAGAACCCACGTGATATTTCCTACACATACTCAGGTTATGCTCCACTCAGCGTACGCTTGGCGCAACATGCAGCCAGGCCTTCTGGTTGGAGGGGAGTTGAAGAGGTATGGCACTAGTATATTCTATTTTGCGAGCAGCCTGCGAAGAGACTGGACACTATATAGCATACACGTTGCGCTTAGTTTATAACTGGACTGTTTTCGTTCAGTACTTCTGAATGTGACTACATCATTTTCCCCACAGGTGCTAAAATTACTACCAGGTCCTACGATTGATGAAATTCAACATTTGCCACAAGGTTTACACAAACGTAAGTTAGTTGCAACCAAACCTTTTTGGCCAGCACAAAGAGAACCCTAGGTATGAGGTTGACCTTTTTGGAATAGAACCTGGGATTTGCGTTTTCACTTCCAAATCGCTTAATAATTGGATTAACTGACATCCCTTCTGTAATATTGATCCAATGTTACTACAGGAGGAAACCTAAACTAATTTTATTTATACTGGATAGCTCTATCAGTTCTAAACTTCTCACCCTAGAGGTCCAGTAAGGATCATCTCTTATTGATCCAGTGTTACTACGGGAGGAAACCTACACTAATTTCATTTATAGTGGATAGCTCTATCAGTTCTAAACTATTCTACCTAGAGGTTCAGTAAGTATCATCTCTTATTGATCCAGTGTTACTACAGGAGGAGACCTAAATTAAGCTAACTTTATTTATACTGAATAGCTCTATCAGTTCTAAACTGTTCTTCCTATAGAGGTCCAGTAAGGATCATCTCTTATTGATCCAGTGTTACTACAGGGGGAAACCTAAACTAAACTAACTTTATTTGTAGTGGATAACTCTACCAGTTCTAAACTGTTCTCACTAGAGGTCGAGTAAGGTCTATCTCCTATATGGAAACTGAGTACCCAAAGAAAACCTGTGCTGTTTAGTAGAGTCAAACTTGAAGCATTCTTCTCACATGTGACTGAGGTGAAATTATAATCAGACAACTGCATATTGTAAGAATCAAACCCTCGATCACAGAGGCGTAAGATACATGCACTGACCACTTGGGGTACCAACATCACGCAACAGACGTAAAACTTTCTCGATAAATAATTTTCCTCCAGGGACTTTGTCTCTCAGTGGTAGTATGGAATCAGGCGACGGACCTCAGAAAGTTACTCTGGTTTATTTTCTTGGTGGATGTACGTACGCAGAAGTCGCTGCCTTGCGATTTCTATCTCAACAAGATAATGGTAAGAAGACTTAATTATTTTATAACACGTGGCAGATTCCGACAGCGATATATGGGATCGCTGAGTTAAGCCTGCTACTGTAGGTCGAGGGTATGGCTTTTACTTGGGGTGGGTGGCTAGCCCATGTACGTAGAGTTTGTTCTCAATTTGAACTTGCAGGGTTAGTAATCGTCTTTCTCTGATGGCTAAATTAAGCTATCTTGTTACTTTATCATTTAGCTCCAACAGATTACATAATTGCAACAACAAAGATGATTAATGGTAACTCGTGGTTGGAATCAATCATGGAATCGAAGCCGGAAGAAAATTCCAATCCTTTCTTATAGTCCAGAATAATATAGACGTCAGAGTGCCGCGGTTTTCGTTTTTACTCCAACTGACGATAAATAGAAGTTAGTCACTGTGTCTGTGCATATAGATTATTGAATCACAAGTTATTCGTTGAAGGTCTGTGCAATCTAGGTAACATCTGGAGTTTCTGGTTCGTACAACTTTGGGAGACATGGTTAAGGCTAGTTTCCACTCAGGAAAATTATCCGCAGATTGGAACGGACAAGAAAATTTTTCTTTGTGTTAAAGTCACTAGTTCCAACCCAGAGCTCGCAAGACAAAGAAAATTTTCTTGTCCGTTCCAATCCACGGATAATTTTCCTGAGTGGAAACTAGCCTTTAGGAAACGATGTTTCCATCAAGATCGGACGATTTCGAAACCCTACTCGAATTTACGATTCCCAAAACATGGAAAAGTTGCCCTAACATAGAAGATGATATTATATAATTGAACACGAAGACATTTTGATTAGATGAAATATTTATTGAATTAATTTTAGAGAAAAAAAGCGATAAACTAATGAATTGAAATCATCAATTTGTAATTATTTTATAGAGATGATGAAGAATGACATACTAAATTAACAGCATGAAGAATGTGAAACAGGGTTGCTTAGAATCGGATGTTTCACGTGAGCTTAACTATGCAGGGACCGGGGAACAGGGGGGGCATGCCCCCCACTTTTTCGGTGGATAAAAAATTACCGGATAGAATCCAACTTGCCTGCGTGGCATAGCTCCCGTGCTATCCTCCCGGTTCCACTCTTAAACAGGCTCCGCGGTCCATACTATGCTGCAAACACAGTTCATAGTTACTAGAACAAGAAGGTTAGGGAACTCGATGCAGTCATGCAGACATAATAGGCCCCATTATCTATGTTTTCGTCTGGGATTATGCAAGAAATGGTCGGTTCACCGTGTGTATTGTTTTTTCGCCAAATCAACCAATTTTAGCAAGTGTGTTGGTTTAGTTACCCAGTCGTCGATATTACACAACGGTTAAATGAAAACATAGCTATTGGTTGCTCTAGCAAAAATACAATATTACAATACACACTTGACAATGAACCGACCATTTCTTGCATAAGAACAGAGATAATGAGGTCTATTAAAGTCTATTATTGTGCATCGAATTCCCTTATTTTATTGAGAACAAGTAAAGGGAACAATGCATATTTTGCAATGGCTGCACGGGAACAAAGCCAAAGTAGTAGGAAACAAGAGAGGAACAAGAGAACCTGATGAAATCTTGGTGGGGAACGAAGATAAAATTTCCAAGGAAACACAGACACCCTTTCCGTTTCACCGAACACCTGCATTTGCAGGCTGCTATATCTATGACCCGAATCCCAAAATACTCCTCTCTGATTGGCTGAGCAGGGATTGAATGAATATTCAATATTCCCTGTGCAGACGGTGTCGCATGACAGATGTCGTTCGTTCAACTTTAGAAAGTCGAGGAAAAAACCAGGTTTAAAATATATATACGGCCGAAAATGCAACTGCTTTTAACTTGGAGGAAGAATCGTTTGTTCAAGGGCTGTATATTTTGAGAAGAATGCAGGAGAAACTTATACAACAGCTTAAAAAAGAAGTAGGTTTAAAGAGCGGCCATTTTGTCTTAGAACCTTTTCCATTTGCGGCTATTTGCATTTGTTTGCCTTTTTTTAAGCTTGCCTTTAAGCCTAAAAGATTTTTGTCGTTGTATTTATTTTACAAAAGCGCGATAGAGCGTTTGCTTTGGTTTATAATATACATATTTAGTTGTATTTTTTAGCTTAGGATATCTCGTCTAGTGTTCAATTTGTTTACCTCAAAAGTTTGTAATCTAATTTAGGTGAAACAGATTGTCGAGGAAGCAGTAACTCGGAAATTTATCCATGCCGATAGCACAAGCATAACTTCGCTATGTGGTGAGTTGTTTTCGTATGGGTTTTGCAAAAAAAATGTTGTAGACAATATATTCTTGTGGCTATATCAAATTTCAAAACAAGTCATCTCAAGTACTCGATACTTCGTACATGCGGAAAATATTAACCGAAACATTTGTTTGTTTGGAGAACTATTATAAAACCCCAAGGTTTGAATTGTGTTCGTATTTTGTAATCAGCCTTATGGATTTTATAAGCTATACATACACGTTGTGATTTGTTTGTATATTAACATTGCACAATGCAATATTCAAATT